TTTCTCTCTTTCTTTTGAGACAGAGTCTTACTCTGTCACCCAGGCTGGAGTGCAGTGGCTCAATCTCAGCTCACTGCAACCTCCGCCTCCCAGGTTCAAGCGATTCTCCTGCCTCAGCCTCCTGAGTAGCTGGGATTACAGATGCCCACCACCACACCCAGCTAATTTTTGTATTTTTGGTAGAGACGGGGTTTACCATGTTGGTCAGGCTGGTCTCAAACTCCTAACCTCATGATCCACCTGCCTCGGCCTCCCAAAGTGCTGAGATTACAGGCATGAGCCACCGTGCCTGGCCGGAAATCTACTATTTTTATAAGCAGTATGCAGATCTACTCTTTGTCCTGGAAGGAGATGTTAGCTCATCTCTCAAGGTTCACTGCTGTGTGTACAACCCTGAGAAATCTCCTAAGTAGAGAGAAGCAAGGTCTTGTCTTCTCAGCATATTAGTAAGAATGTGCAGGGATACTCAGAATCCAGGGTAGATGGCTTCTCCCAATAATTTCTTCTTTAGACTGTAAAATTACGGCCATCATAGTGGAGAAGGCCAAGTAGAAACCTCTGAAACTACTCCCTCCTCCTCCATCCAAGAGAGTAAATAAAAGACAGTATGACACTCCAGGGAACACAGCAGAGATTAAAGCCACCTTTGAAGACTTCATGAATGCAGGAGTCATGTTTTCCCCACTTAATTCTGACCTTAACCAGAAGCAATGGTCCATTGTAAGTGAAGTAGAAATGGTAGAAATGCAGGAACTTCAGTTCCTGAAGGATGTGGCAAACTCATCCTAGGAATAGCCCCAGTTGTGCTTGCTGGGTTACAAATGGTATTTTTGTTACAGCAGATTAAAATGGCTTTAGGTGTGTGCTATTGTTAGCCATTAATCTGGCCAATGCATTTTTTTTGTTTGTTTGTTTGTTTGTTTTTTGAGATGGAGTCTTGCTCTTTTGCCCAGACTGGAGTGAAGGGGTGTGATCTTGGCTCACTGCAACCTCTACCCCTCAGGTTCAAGTGATTCTCCTGCCTCAGCCTCCTGAGTAGGTGGGATTATAGGGCCTGCACCATGCCGTCATTTTGTTTTTACTAGAACAGGGTGTTGAGGAGTCAAAACCCAACAGAGACCGCGAAGCCGTAATAAAAAATTGTGATGATTTCATGGACGTTTATCACTTTCCCAATCAATACTCTTATAATATTCCTATGCCTGTTCTTTAATCTCTTAATTCCCATTCATCTTCATAAGCTGAGGATGTACGTCACTTCAGGACCCTGTGAGATTGTGTTAACTGCACAAATTGTTCATAAAGCACGTGTGTTTGAACAATATGAAATCTGGGCCCCTTTGCAAAAAGAACAGGAACAAGGGAGATAACCATTAGGTCGGACTGCCTGGGAGCCGGACGAACAGAGCCATATTCTGTTATTACCGAAACAGGTAAGAGAAATATTGCTGAATTCTTTCCCAGTAAGGAATATTAATAATTAGCAGCCCTGGGAAAAGAATGCATTCCCAGGGCGGGTCTCTAAAATGGCCACCCTAGGAGTGTCTGCCTTATGCAGATGTAGATAGGAATGAAACACGCCCTAGTCTCCTGCAGCACCCCCAGGCTTGCTAGGATTAGGAAATTCCAGCCTGGCGAATTCTATTCAGACCGGTTCTCTGCTCTTGAACCCTGTTAAGATGTTTATCAATGACAATGCGTGCACAGCGGGATATGGAAGTTCATTAGTGATTCTAGTTTCACCTTCACCTTGTGATCTCGCCCTAACCTTCTGCCTTGTGATCTTTTGTTGCCCTTGAAGTGTGTGATCTCTGTGACCCACACCCTATTCATACACTCCCTCCCCTTTGAAAATTGCTAATAAAAACTTGATGGTTTTACAGTTCAGGGGGCAACACAGAATCTGCCGACATGTGATGTCTCCCCAGGACAGCCAGCTTTAAAATTTCTCTCTTTTGTACTCTTTCCCTTTATTTCTCAGACCAGCTGGCACTTAGGGAAAATAGAAAGGAACTTACGTTGAAATATTGGAGGCTGGTTTCCCCTGATAATGGGGTTTTGTCATGTTGGCCAGGTTGGTCTTGAACTCCTGACCTCAGGCGATCGACCCACCTCAGTCTCCCAAAATGCTAGGATTACAGGCATGAGCCACCGCACCTGGCTGCATTCTTATCCATTCCTAACTGGAAGAAGTTTACATTCATGTGGGATGCACAACAGTACAGATTTCCAGTCCTGCCCTGGGGTTGTGTTAACTCTCTTGCATTCTGTAAAAATACATTCTGAAAGGACCTTGACCATCTGAACACCCCGGAATATGACACTGGCCCACTATATCAATGACACGATGTTATTTGGACCAGATGAGCAAGAAATACAAATACTTGTTGGAGGCCTGGGTAAGACATGTGTTCCAGAGGCTTCTACAAAGATTCAGGGGCCTGCCACACTAGTGAAGTTTTAGTGGTTCAGGCATAGTGGGGATATCTCCTTCCAAAGGAAAGGTCAAATTATTCCATCTTGCACTTCCCACCACTAAGAAGCAAGCATAATGCCTACCAGGCCTCCTTGGGCTCTGGTGGCAGCATATTCCCTACTTAGGAACACTGCTTTAAACCTTACCAAGTGACAAGGAACTCTACCAGCATTGTGTGAGGCCTAGGACAGGAAAGGGCTACATAGTGGTTTCCGGTTACAGGAGAAGCAGTCCTGCTTCTTGGGCTATGCGACCCATTCTATCATATGGTTTTAGAGGCGAGATCAGCCTGGCCAACATAGAAAAACCTCGTCTGTACTGAAAATACAAAAATTAGCCGGGTGTGGTGGCACACACCTGTAATCTTAGCTACTTGGGAGACTGAGACAGAATGGTTTGAACCCTGGAGGCGGAGGTTGCAGTGAGCTGAGATGGTGCCACTGCACTCCAGCCTGGGCAACAGAGCGAGACTCCATCTCAAAACAAAAAAAAAAAAAAAGGAAGCAAACTGGGTATGTGCCGTTAGAGGTGGTGTATACGTTTTCAGCATTATAAATGAATAGAGATGAATGGCAAAAGTTTCTTTGGTCCATAGATTTGTGGTATCTTACCTAGCTTTGGATCTCTTCCACTAAAGGGATTGCCTGTTGAATGTTGTTAGGAATCTAAGCACTGAAGGCAAATTGCATGGGTTTGAATTTTGTTCTGTCCCTTGCACCCTGCCTGGGTTCAAATCCTAGCTGGTAGTAAGTTCTTTTAAGGGGATGATCTTTGATAAAATGTCTTAGCTTCTGTTTTCCCAAGTAAATGGAGGCAATAGTTCCTACCTTGTGAAGGATTCATGTAATTGACCAGCATTTACCAAGTAGCATCAGTGTTCAGTTTTAGTCATTGGTGATTCTGTATTTTGACTGTGTGGGGGTGTTGGGGTGGGGGGTGGTGTGTGTGTGTGTGTTTAGCACATAATTGCATGCAGAAAGGAAAAATACTTTTGGTAACCTAGAGGCAGCTTTTCTCTGCTTTTGTGTCAAAAGGGAAGAAGGGAGTTGGGAGAGGGAAAGGAATTCTGTTCAATACTAAGCTCCCTTCCTCAAAATCAGAGATAGATAGAATGTGTAATAATTCACAGAATTTCTAAACCTCAATAATCTGATTTTTTAAATTTTATTTTTTATGTTTTCAGGTTGAGACTGAGATAAAGTTAATCTGAGGCGACGTTCTGGATGTACTGAACAGCAGACACCTCATTCCAGCAGCTACCACTGGCAAGTCCAAGGTTTTCTATTATGAGATGTAGGTTCTACACTAACAATTAACAAGTGTACTTCAATAATTTTAGAAACTCTCAGGAATAATTGACTTTGTTTCTTTTTTATTTCTGAGACATTTCATATTATTTTCCTTATTAAATATAACAAATCCCACTGAAATTAAGTGAGAAGCCTCTAAATATCGACAAAATTATCACTTGATAGACTAGAATTAAACAAGCAGGTGGTTCCAAGAAATGGCACAAGTGTATTAATCGTAAAATAAACTTTCTACATGAAACATTCAGCCAGCACTGTGCAATGTGTGGCCGTTTGGGGGAGGGGAATGAGATAGGTCCCAAGAAATCAAAAGAATATAAGTAAAGCAAAAGCTAATGCATTTTTATAACAGCCTGACCATCTTTTTTATTCCAACATCAACTATCCTTCTAACATTAAACAATTATTTTTTAATAAAAGTTGGAAACCTACATAGAAGAAAGTCATGATTCTAAAAAGGCCAACTTTTAATCTTACATTTTCCTTTCTAGTATAGAACCTACATTTCACAATAGAAAACCTTGCTGCTGGAATGAGGTGTCTGGCCAGTGCATCCAAAACGTCGCCACAGATTAACTTTAGCTGTCTCAACCTGAAAAAATAAAAAATAAATTGTAAAAAATCAGAGTGTTTCAGTCTAGAAATTCTGTGAATTATTACACATTCTACCTCTGGTTTTGTGGAAGAGAGCTTAGTATTCAAGAGAATTCCTATCCCTGTCCAAACTCCCTTCTTCTCTTTTGACACAAAAGCAGAGAAAAGCTGCCTCTGGGTTATCAAAAGTATCTTTTCTTTTCTGCCTGCAATTAAGTGCTACAGGCACACACCACCTCCCACCCCAGCACCCCTCACACTCCAACTACAGAATCACCAATGACTAAAACTAAACACTGATGGTACTTGGTAAATGCTGGTCAATTACATGAATCCTTCACAAGGTAGCAGCTATTGTGTCCATTGACTTGGGAAAACAGGAGCTCAACATTTGCTCAAAGATCATCCCCTTAAAAGAACTTAATAAGCAGAGCTAGGATTAGAACTCAGGCAGGCTGAGAAGGCTAAAAATTTCCCAAAGTTTTAAGTTCTGCTTCCCTTTTGATTATAAGTTCTGTCTCTAAATCATTCCTCTTTTCTTTCATTTTCCTAGAAACATTCAAGAGAATGAAGGTACTCCTTCAATACTTTGCTTAGATATTTCTTCTGCTAAATTTCAGGTTCATTGCTCACAAGCTCAGCCTTCCAGAAAACACTAGGAGCACAATGCAGCCAAGTTCTTTGTCACTTTATGACAAGCATCACCTTTCCTCCAGTTTCCAATAACATGTTCTTCATTGCCATCTGAGACTTCATCTGAATGATTTTTCCCTTCCATATTTTTATTTTTTTAAGAGACTAAGTCTCCCTATGTTGGCCAGGTTGGTTGTGAAGTCTCATCTTCAACCGATCCTCCTGTCTTGGCCTCCCAAAGTGCTAAGATTCCAGGCATGAGACACCAGGCTCGACCCCCTCCATATGCTACCGACATTCTGTCCGGCTCTCCTCTTCTGAAACCTCACCAGAGTCACCCTTAACCAAGAGTCACAGGGAGAAGACGGCCACCCACACAGCAAGAGACAGGCCTGGAACAGAGCCTTCCTGCACCGCCTCAGAGGGACCCACCCTGCTGACACCTTGATGGTGGACTCATGGCCTCCAGGATTGGGAGACAGTAACATTCTGTTGTTGAGGGTGCCCAGTCTGTGGTCCTGTAAAACAGCCCTAGGAAACTAACACAGCCTGTTAGCCCACAGATAGTGGAGAGATGGAATGAAATAATAATAGAAATATATGTGAAATAATAATAGAAATAAAGCACACAATAACTGTAATGGGTTTGAATCATCTCCGCATCATCGCTTCCCCTTCTCCCGGGTCCATGGAGGAGTTGTCTTCAAGAAACCTGGTCTCTGGTGCCAAAAAGTTTGGGGACCGCTGGTGTAAATGTTTCTAAAAATAGTTAAGCAACATAAGGTTTACCTGCTACAAATAATGCAGATTTAAATGCTAATAAAAATGGGTGCAAATGAAAACACTCTTTCTATGGTCCAGGGAATCTTAACCATTCTCTGAGAAAGACTCGCAGCTTGGAACTGCAGCTGCCTTCCCACATCCTGTCCACTGTAAAGCCCTGCAACACACACACATGCACGCACACGCACACGCACACACACATGCACACACACATGCACACGCACACAGATACATGTACATAAATACATTCACATGCACAAACCTGCGCGCACACATGCACATACATACATACGCATGCATATACCTACACACATACACACACAGACACACAGACACACACACACCCTGTACTTCATGCCCTCACCAGGGTGTCCTGGGAGAGAATGCATGTTTTTAGCAGAAATGAAGACAACTCAGGCCCCTCATTCTCCTGGTGATTGCACAAGTGCCTTCTCTGAAGACCATGCTTCAGTGCCTTTCTTGGTTTTCCCTCTTACTGAAAGAGAGAAGCAGAGACCCCTACCCCTGTCACCCACCACCTCCACCGCTAGGCTGCCCCAGGCCCAGGTTCCAGAAGTCTCCCAGGATCCAGGAACTAAGGGCAACCACTGGGTTACACAGCCGCTAGTCCATGAGTCAGGCGCCTCTCTGCGAGCTGACAAACCTTGGCTCTCATGCCCCACACCAAGCCAGCCACACCGCCGTCCCCCCACCAGCATTATTACTGCCTCCTGATGTTAGCCCTGACAACCCTACTTGCTGATAATCTTGCCCCTCACACGCTGGTCCAGGCAAGCCCAAAGGCCAGCACCCTCCACCCACCCTTCCTGGGGGCCACTCTACTTTCTGCTTGCCCAGATGTCTTCACCTGGCTTTACCAAGCTAGAACAAACAACAGGGATGAGCCCCCGGCCTCTACCGGGAAGATTTGCCAAAATGCTCTCCATTTAGAAGGAGGAGCAGTGATGGGGCCTACGAATGACCCCAGGATGGTCACCCAAGCAACAAGAAGGGCAAGGAGCCCAGTTTCCTGCCCTTACCCTGGGAGGACGTGGCCAGGGCACCACAAGGCCCTGGAGAGGGGTGGGTAGGAGAGCAGATCCAACCTCTTCTTGAGGAAGCAGCCACCACCCCAGGAAGCAGCAGATGGGGGCGCACAGGCAGAGCCCCCGGTGCTGTAGAGCAGGCCCAGCAGATCTGTACTCAGCCTCAGCCCCGGGAAGCTGCAAGACAGGCTGAGACCCTGATAGGTTTGGATCTGTGTCCCCACCCAAAACCCATCCCTCCTGTGTCAAGAGAGGAACCTGGTGGGAGGGGATTGGATCTGGGGACAGTTTCCCCCGTGCTGCTCCCCTGAGAGTGAGGGAGTCCTCAGGAGAGCTGATGGTTTAAAAATGTGGCACTTCCTCGTTCTCCGCTCACTCCCTCCTGCTGCCTTGTGAAGAAGGTGCCTGCTTCCCCTTCGCCTTGTGCCATAATTGTAAGTTCCCTAAACTGTGAGTCAATTAAACCTCTTTCCTTTATAAACCACTCAGTCTCAAGTATTTCTTTCTTTTTTTTTTTTTTTTTTAAACAGAGTTTGAATCTTGTCACCGAGGCTGGAGTGCAATGGCACCATCTAGGCTCACTGCAACCTCTGCCTCCCAGGTTCAAGGGATTCTCCTGCCTCAGCCTCCCGAAGTAGGTGGGATTACAGGCGCCCGCCACCACGCCCAGCTAGCTTTTTTTCTATTTTTAGTTAGACAGGGTTTCACCATGTTGGCCAGGCTGGTCTTGAACTCCTGACCTCAGGTGATCCACCCGCCTCGGCCTCCCAAAGTACTGAGATTACAGGTGTGAACCACCACGCCCGGCCTCAAGTATTTCTTTACAGCAGTGTGAAAACAAACTAAAACCCCTTCCCTGAGGTGCCTTCTGCTTAGGCAACCAGCTGCCCCATGTTCCTCCTCTGCCCCCTGGTCTTTCTGTTCCCCTGATGAGGGCCAAGTGATAAACAGGGCCAGCTCCAGCCCCATCCTACTGCAGCCCATGTGGCTGCTGGAGAGGCCGCGCTCCTTTCCTCACCCCAAGGGGCCCTGATATGCTCTTTGGAGCCTGGAGGAAACTGACCCCTTATTCTCACACTGGTGCAACTTCTTCCAAGACCTCAAACCTGGACAACGTGAGCCGGTCTTTTTAAATGTCTCCACTTGCTAGGGCTGTCACTCGGAGAGCACTAGAGGGTGGTGCCAATGGATGAATGGATGGATGGATGGATGGACAGTAGTCCAGGGATGATGTCCCTGTCTGTACTGAACTGGGCCCTTCCTCCAATGAGCAGCCTTCCTGAGTGAGTTTATACAATTGTCCCTTGGTATCCATGGAGGATTAGTTCTCGGGTCCCGGGGATGCCAAAATCCATGGATGCTGAAGTCCCTGATATAACATGGCCTAGTATTTACATAAAAGCTATGCACATCCTCCAATAGACATTAGAGCATTACTAGGTTATTTATTATACGTAATACAATGTAGATGCTACATAAATGGTTGGGATACTGTATTCTTTAGGGAATGATGACAAGAACAAAGTCTGCACATGTTCAGTAGAGACATAACCATCCAATTTATTTTCTGAATATTTTCCATCTGCTGTTGCTGAATCCACAGATGCAGAGCTCCCAGATATGAGGGCCAAGTGTGCTTTGAGAGTAGGGTGGGTGAGGTTGCTTATGATTACAGGGGAGCAGGTGTCGATCAGAGGTCCCTGCATTGAGGAATCTGGACGCCCTATCTCCGGACTTGAGACTTCGTTTGAATGGCACAGGCAGACTCAGCCCCGGTCAAAGTGCACCCCTTGAAGCTTCATTTTATCCCAAACTCTTTCTGGACCCTGGATTTGGCATCCCCTAGGCCCTGGCAGGAAGGACAGATGAACCAGATTTTAGATAACATGTCTGGAATAGAGTGAGGCCCTACTGTGTGCCTGGCACTTTCCCCACAGGATCCTTTAGCTAGAACATTCAAGGGTCATGGAGAGAAATACCCAGTTAAAATATCAGAAATTTAAAAAAAGATACCATTAGAGACACAAAAAAGACCGTTAGGTAATAGTATTAGCATTTGTATTCTGAGATTCAACAGTAGTGGTCACTTCCCCCCACCCTTATGTGTATTCCAGACCACCCTGGGCGAGGAGGGCTGAGGTTAGGGAACACCCGTGGATGCTCTGATACTGGTCCTGAACCTCGGGGGTGACAGTGATGAGGAACTGGGTGCACACATGAGTGGGGCAGCCAGGCCTGGCCAGAGAAGGCACACACACGTGCACAGATGTGTTTACCCATGTACAGGTGTGCACGCATGCACACAAACACATTGCAGGCAGGCACGTGGCCGCCTCAGGCAGCGGAGGACCCCGTCTCTGGGCCCTGCTGACCTGGGCAAGGCCCCACTGTGATGCGTGCCATGACATCAGAATGTCACTGGTGCTTAGCACCAATCCGCTTTCAGGCCTGCCTCTGTGTTCTACGGCAGTTACACGTGCACAGTGGTATCAGCTACACACGCACAGTGGTATCTGGGAACAGTTTTGTGGACTCGAAGGTTTTCTACCTGATAGGCATAACCCAGGCCAGCTGATTCATCAGAATCAGGTGAGTGTGACCTGCTGTCTTCCCTCCAGGCTGACTTGGAGACAGTGGCTATGCTGTGGGTGGTGTTGGCCTCTGGGCAGCTACCGAGGAGGGTCATCCCTGAGCACTCACCGGTCGCCCGTTCTACACTGCCAGTGTAGACGATTGGCTCTTTCGTCCTCATGGTGGCTTCATAGAGTGAGTGCCATTCCCTCGTTCACCCATTCGACAGGTGAGACATCTGGGGTCAGAGAGGCGGTAACCGACCTGGGAATCCAGACAGGACCGTGGGGTTTGCTCTCAGCCCTGCCGTGCGCTGTGCTGGAATTCAGGCCTGAACCCTGTGACCTCCCTGCCCTAGATCCCAAGTCTTCCCAGGTTTCCCATCCCGATGGGGCAGAGTCTGGCCCTGGCAGAGCAACTGGGATAGATCCACTGTGGGTGGGGGGGGATAGGAGGGTCCTCAGAACACCTCTGTGCCCTAAAGTGGGTCCTGATGGTGGCTGTGGGCCTCACTGAACACACATGGTCCCTTGTCCTGGGGAACCTTCTGCCTTTGGGTAGTTGTGGAAAATGAAGGAGCCCTGGAGGGCTGGCTGGGGGGAGACCTTCTTCCCTTCTGTTCAAAGGGGTCCAGGCACTGGGGTTCTCTCCAAGTATTTCTTGCTCTGTCTGGTCCTCTCGAGGCCTCGCCCTCCTTTTGCCCCAAGTGTTCCCAGGAGGGACGGTCCATCCAGGTGTTCTCCGGGACCAAGGACCCACTGTCCTTCCTCAGTGACATGGGAAAATGAAGCCCCCTCCTGTAGGGACAGCTCAGAATGGTGGAGTCCACAGTCCCTTCCCGAGTGAGGGTTTCCCCTAGCACAATAGATCATTTTCGTCCCCCAAACCGAACACCCTCCTGCTCAACTGGCATTATTCCTAAAGTGGCTTCTCTGTTCAGACTGAAGGGCCACGGGAGCCAAAGTGATGAGCGGAGAAGAACAGAGCAGTCAGGAGAGATCTTGTTCCCTGTAGAAAACTGGGCATCTCTGTGGTCCCTGAGCATCCCAGGAGGCCGATTGTACAGAGACCTCTGGTCGCTGACCTCAGTCTCCCTCCACATCCCTGGAATAGCCCATCATGGGCCCTTCACCCTTGGCAGGTGGACACTATTCAACCTGCTGGGCAGGTGTGTCCCCATTTCATGGCAATTGGGGACGACGGGATTCTCTGTCCAGGTCCCACTGTCCTCAAGTCCTTGGGATGATGCCCACCCCTGCTTGGGACTGGAGACTCCAGAGACTCATGCAGGTGTGGGACACTAGGTCTGGCGCCTTTTTACCCGGGGGCGGTGGTGGAATGGGGGTTACACAGCCAGCCAGCATCTGGGAGCCTGGCGGGAACGGTTCAGGTGTTCTCTGAAGCTCTCAAGTACAATGTAACTTTTAGATGATTTTGTCTCACAGGATGGTAATCATAGAGGATGCAGATAGTTTGCGGGCACAGGAGCGAGAGAATATCATCATGAACTATGAGAAGGTACAGGTCGGTCTGCTCCTTGGAGGGAGGCCTCTTCCAGTGCACCCTGGTCAAAGGGTC